GGGTACCCAGTACAGAGCCCGGCGCCGCTCACCGGCCGGAGATCCCGTGTTTGTCTCCTGCCATCCCTCTGACTGGTGCTGGGTGCCCCCCGTGACTGGGTTGAGCCGGGCAGCGTTGTGCCCAGCGGGCTGTCCTCACTTGCAGCGCCCGTTTCAGTTGCGCTTCAGCCGCGCTTCAAACTGCTTTGCCTCTGGAGCTGAAAGACCTCGAGAGCGAAGGCGCCCGCTCACTCGCTGACCCTAACCCTAACACTCTTCTTTCTGGTGGGGGTGTTCCAGGGATATCAAGGACACGACGGTGGGCACGCTGTCCCAGCGGATCACGAATCAGGTCCATGGCTTGAAGGGACTGAACTCCAAGCTTCTGGACATCAGGAGCTACCTAGAGAAAGTAGCCGTGGGCAAACTCCCCATCAATCACCAGATCATCTACCACCTTCAGGATGTCTTTAACCTGCTTCCAGATGTCAACCTGCAGGAGTTTGTCAAGGCCTTTTATCTGAAGACCAATGACCAGATGGTGGTCGTTTATCTGGCCTCTCTTATCCGCTCCGTGGTTGCCCTGCACAACCTCATTAACAACAAGATTGCCAACAGGGATGCAGAGAAGAAGGAAGGACAGGAAAAAGAAGAAAGTAAAAAGGAGAGAAAAGATGAGAAGGAGAAAGACAAGGAGAAGAGTGATGTCAAGAAAGAGGAGAAAAAGGAGAAAAAGTAAAATGTGTAGTTTTTTTATTTGTAAATTAAAAATCTTGTAAACTAAATCACTTTGATGCTGGGTTCTTTTCTCTCGTTGAAAGGGTCAGTGCTCTGCTTTGGAATCTGCTTTTTGTGTCCATCATAAGGTAGTGGGACAGATCTCCTCATGCTGGCAGCTGTCCCAACAAGCAGCTGGTGGAGCACTTTGGCTTCAGCCCTAGGCAGGGAAGGGGTAAAGCCAGGGGAAATATGTTACTACTTTTTCTTTTAGGGCAGCACTCTGCCTCCCCTCAGGATGCCTTCAAGGATGTGCAGGCCAACAGCTGAGCATTCCCACCACGCACCTCCTCAGCCATCTCACCTGCACTGAATTTGCACTACTCTGAGACCTACAGTGGTGGTTAGCACCAAGTCATGGCTGAGCTGAGGAGAGTTCCAGAAGCACCACTGAGGGACAAGTAGAGAGGCTGCTGCTGGCTGGGTCCTTCCAGATCAACCTTGGCCTGGGCTAGTACTGTTGTATTTATTTGCTCCACAGCTCTGGGCCAGCAACAGATGGGGCTGGGCTGACAGTCTGTGCCGCTCACTCCTCAGGCTGTGTGGATGAAACATCTGTGGTGGCACCAACCAGGCTGGGTCTCACAACATCTACCCTGCTGTCCTGCCCTGCGCCAGGGACAGGCCCTGCACGTCACTGCCCTCCTGGGCCAAAGGGGCAGGAGGGACGTGCTGCAGCAGCTCCTAGGAGCTGGGGCAGAGGGGATGTGCCTCTCTCAGGCACAAGATGCCACCAGTTCCTCTGCCACCTCCAAGTGCAGCAGGACATGTCCCAAGGGAGTACAAAAGGATTGCCCACACCATGGCACGAGTAGAACAAATCCCCGACCAACAAACCAACCAGGTGCTGAAACGCAAAGTGGTGGCAGAGCAGCTGGACACGGGCAGCCCCAGGGAGGAACAGTGGGTTGGTTTAGTTCTGCTGTGCTGGATTTTTTTTGTTTAGATCTATTGTGGATTTTTTTTTTTTGTTTTTAACTGAATGCCACCAGTCTGTGGCCATTGGCTTCATGCACCTGGTTTTGTTCTGCCACTCTGGGGTTCACAGGGTGGTGTAGGGAGGCAGCTCCAGCTCTGTCAAAAGCCTGGAGACATTTTTAGGGAAGTGACTAGAGGTTAGGTGAAGGCAGGAGCACAGTGCCCAGCCCGACCTTTCCACTTGGAAAAAAAAAAAAAAAAATAGGTGTTATTCCATGGCCTCAAGTTGCCCCAGGGGAGGTTGAGGTTGGAGCTGAGGAACAATGTCTACCCCTTGAGGGTTGTGGAGGCCTGTGCCAGGCTGCCCAGGGCAGTGGTGGAGTCCCCACCCCTGAAGGGGTTTCCAAGCCATAGAGATGTGGTGCTGAGGGACATGGTTTACCACTGGACTGAGCAGTTAGGTTAATGCCTGGACTTGGTGATCTTAAAGGTCTTTCCCAACCAAACCGCTCCATGATTCTGTGATTCATGACCCCCCTGAGGAGCTCCTCCCACCCAGCCGCCGCAGGGGCTGCCCGGGGCTGTCCCTCCGTGCGACACAGGGACAGGGACTCGCGCCTCGGCAGCTGCTCATCGTTTATTGCACAAGAAGTGGGCGTGGCTGAGGCAGGATGGTGCGGTACAAAACTATCCGCTGCCCGGTCAAAAGCTACTGCAGCATCTTCTATCCGTAGACTTTGTACACCAAGGCTTGCACGGAGCTGTCCCCCTGCACACCGGGGAGGGGACAGGGGTGCCGGTGGAATCCAGGCAAGGGGCAGATCCCTCAGCTGCAGCTCCGGGAGCTCCTGCCACCAGCCCAGCCGGCGACGAAGGAAATGCAGGGAGCCTGGGCCGAGTCCACAAACCTGGCAAAGGCCAGAGGTGCCCCGACGGTGACCGGAGCCCCCGAGGCTGCTGCGGAGCACCAGCTCCGAGCAATGAGCCACTTCACTATGAACTACAACCACACGGGCTGGCAACTCAAAACACGCAATGGACACGGCCGGCCAGAGTCTGGGCCTGGGCAGCTGCAGGCCTGGCAGGAAGGGGCTGTCCCAGCCCTCGCGTGGTGCACCAGGCCCAGCAGCACCGGCCGGGGCTTCCCTGTGACCTTTGCTGGGTGCAGGATGGGGCCCAAATGCGACCTGAGAGTTAATTCAAGAGCCATTTCATCTCTCCTCCTCACCCGTGTGTATTGAAACACCATGAAAAGGCAGCAAACACTAGGGGGGGGAAGAGCCTGTGCCGAATCCAGATCCCATCAAAGTCTGTGGGAGGGGCACCAGGAGCCCCAGCGCAGGGCGCACTGCCCACCAAGGCCCAGGGTTGTGCCCGGCCCTCGCCTCAGCCCGCGCCCTC